TTAAAAAAAAAAAAAAAAAAAACCACCGCCGCATACAGCGCACTAACGAGAGATACGCCACGGTGGAGTCAAGAACTGGTCTGCACACGTGTGCAAGCTGGCATGGTCACTAAAAAAATAATGGAAATTATGCAATTTCAAAAATATAATACCGTGTATAAAAAATGTAAAATTATATAATTAATCTTTTACATTAATATTAATTACTATATATATATATAGTTGAATTAATAAAAATATCGTTTAAAAGTATCCCAAAACTTTGATAAGTTTCCATAATATCTTAAATCTAAACTTTCAAAGATGTTATTTATGTTAGGATCGTACAACAACGCACATATTCGATCTAGATGAACACAAAAGAATAGAATAGAGAAAATTCAAGGAGAATATTGACTAAATGTTTTGTATTGATGACTACCGAGAATATAAAAGTAGATTTTACTATACATATAGCTATTTACTCCAATTTACTTTATACATTAGCTTTATTACGTATAACCGACTAACCGTTCCATACCTAACAATTTAAGCATTTAAATATATATTTTTATTTTTTAAAATTAAAATATTATTTTTGGTGTCTAATTCTATTTTGGGTCGGGTGAATGGTTTAGATTTGGTTATTGTCCTCTTAATAAATTATTATTATTATTATTTGGGAGGAAAATAGTTAATAATTTATGAAACAAAATGGTTAAAAAAAACATCATTAAATTTTAAAAGTTTCATTAATAAAAATTTAAAAATATATTTACCGTTAGTACCACGTTTAAAAAATATACATGAATTTTTCGAAATAACAATAAAAGACGATTTTCGTTCATAAATTAAGATAAGGTCGAATGGTATTAATGAAACCTTTAGGTATTTCAAAAATATTATTAAAAGTTAAAGAGTATTTACGGAGGGTTAATTATTAAATATTTTAGTAATAGACTAGAAAATTAAATCTTTCTAATTAATTTTTTAATTTATCTTTAATTTGCATTCAAATATTTCTGGTACCTTTTTTAAAGTTATACATTAATGGATTTGAATAAATAAAATTGATATGTAATTATTAATATAATATTCAAAACTTAAGCGTGTAGATTATTTTATTGTACTTTATTAAATTAAATTTTTATTTTTAAATTTGTGAGTTTTCTTTATTATTTAATTTCAAAGCATATGATTCAATTAAGTTATTCTTTTATATATATATATATATATATATATGTATTTGTTTGTATTATCTTTTTAATTTAACATATTTCTTTAAAACCTAGAAATATATACAAATATTAATTAAAAAGATAATACAAATATATGTGTATATATATATATATAAATAGATCTAAAACGCACCGGATCAAGCAGGACAGACCGATGGAATTTAAAGTTGTGTGGTAGGAAAATAATAATAATCAATTTTGTAAAAATAATAGAATTACTAATTGACGAAATAAGATCGATCCAAGTATACTTGCAGAGACGCCGCAGGGATGAAACTGAATTTTTTGTCTGCATCAAACAAATGATTGTTGAAAGACCATTCCGGGCGCTTTGACTCTTCATCAGGTGTGTAGCTGGATTTTCTTCCTTCTCCTCTTTCTCTGATTTCTTCTCAGCTTGCTAAATTGTTTGCAAGTTTCAGTGCTCGCGAGCTGCAAGTCATTTCTTTCAAGGTATCGGCCAAACCAATGCTTTCTGTTTTTGATACATTTTTGCAATCTAATCTTGCATTACAGAATTTACCATGATTTCTGTTAGAATTCTCTTTTGTTAAGAGCAAAGAGTGGAATTAGAATCGAGCGTTGAAGGTACGGCGAGTGGCGAAAGCTTTCTCTTAGACACCGGCTTTGTGAAGCACTGTGTGATTACGAATTTCAGTTTTTCTACTGGAAAATTGTTATCACTGAGAGTACTGAGTTGAATCAGCTTTGAAGCCCATGGTGTGTAGCTGACACCGGCATTTTTCAAACATTTGGTTTCATTACAGATTTTTATTTTTTTGCTAGAAAATAGTTCTTATTAAGAGTTTGAACTGAATTAGACTGGAACTTTACAATTCCTTCTTGAAAATCGATTTCATGGCAGATTTTGAAATTTATGCTAAAAAATCGGTTTCATTTAGAGTTATGAGTTAAATTAGAATGCAATTCTGAAGCCATGGCGCGTAGCATGACTTTTCTCTCAGACATCGGCTTCATCAAGCACTAGTGTCATAACATATTTTAGTTTTTCTGCTAAAAAATTGCTTTCATTAAGACTAATAACCTAAATTAGAATGCAACTTTGAGGCCATGGCATGTAGTATAAGTCTTCTTTTAAGTGCACGTCTGTTACCGGATAGGATTCGGAGTGTATATTGGTTGTACCTATCGCTGATTATCAAGAATAACACATTTGTGCTGGTTCGAATAAAGGTTTGTTCTGTTTTGCATTCACGAAAAACTGTTTCCTACATGTCCAAATAAGACTGCAAACTTGATTCTTATGTTTCTTATTGCCTATTGGGCATGCTTTTCTTTCAAAACTAATTATTTCTCTCATTTGAATTCTACTGACAAGTTGTACTCTTTAGACTATAAATGCCATAGCTATTTTGTAGATCATTATACTGTATTGATATTCCCCCTCCCCCCCCCAAATAAAAGATCATATATTGATATTAATGTGTCTGGTGCACCAGAAGGAGGAAATGGCAGAAAGAGTAATCTACTACTGAGGTTAATTTGGTTACAATAAATTGATCTGGAGTACTATGTGCTAGTAGAACTCTGCAAAATATTCTGCAGTGATGTGTTCTTCCCTATTGCACCGGCACGTCGGATGGTATATTCTTTTGGGATGTCTATGCATGTCTGCCCTCTGCCTCAATTCACTTCAGTATGAAAGTGGAAATGCTTTTTCAAACAGCTGGCAGAAT